AGAAAACCCTTTGAAAAGCTATTTGATAATAGATGCGAAATACTTAACATACAAGTGATTGCGTTGCAAATTTAAAATCATTTGATTATTTATATGTACCTTCATATATCATTATTTTTTTATTTGCATTAATTCGTATTTATAATATTTTTTGCTTCTTTAAAGTGATTAAAATTACAACTACATTCATCTTACTGTAATATATGTAAATAAACGAAATATGACATATTTAAACTTCAGACTACCCACTTCTATATTAATTCGTCATTCGTCTATAAATTAAAGAAATATGATATATTTCATTGTAAAATAAAACATTAACCATGTTACTACGTTATATCAATTTCAAAGCTTACTATGTGAATCTTCATCTGAAATAAAAAATTCAGAACTTGGTGTTGCAGTTAAATCTAAAACAAAATACAGAATATAAGATGAAACATGAAAAACAATTACTGTAGTTTTTTAAAAAAAAATATTCAGAAAAAATTTACCAGTTGAATTTTTCGGTTCTGGAAGGCTTTCCAGGTCAAGCTGTCGGCTAAGGAGTCGACTGGTGTATATGGCATCCGGATGTATTTGTGAGCTTGGTGGATTTGAAATTATTTTATTTGCAGCTATAAATTCATTTCTTATTGAAATATCTTTTTCTCTCTTACTACCATCATATCTCAGTGTATCACACCAATAATTTATCAATTCATAACATTCGCTTGCTGTCGGTCTTTTGGAAGGGTCTGCATCCATACATTGGCTTGCCAAATCAATATAAATTTTTGGTGTTCCTCTTCCAAATTTAGGACGCAAACCGTTAGATATATCTATAGCAAGTAAAGTAGTATGTGGAACATTGTCGTGAGCTGGTTTTCCTGATGAAATTTCAGTCATAATAATCCCAAAACTATAAATATCAGCAGCTCTTGTATATGGTTTTCCATATAAAACTTCTGGAGCAACATAAGGCAATACACCATAGACATCCTTTCCTCCAGTTTCTTCATTAGCAGGGCCTGCCAATCCTAAATCCGAAATACAGGGAAAATTATCATTATGTACTAAAATATTTCCATCATGGAAATCTCGGTGTACTTTCCCCTCTTTATGAATTAAAACTAATTCATCAGATATCTTTTGTAAAAAGAATAATTTTTTTTTCCAGTCAAGTTTTTCAAAATTTGATTTAAGGTATTCTTGAAGATTACCACTATTTGCAAATTTTAAAACCATCATATAGCTTTTTGTTTTCG